ACGGACCTCGCCACGACGATGCCATGCCTGGTGCCGCAGATGTGGGAGTCGTCCTCCAACGACCGCCCGAGGTAGATGCCGTAGCCCCACGCGGACTCGAACTTGGCGGCGATAGGCCCAGGTTGCCTCCACATAGCCGTCTCGCCGAGTGGTAGGGCCTTCTTGGCATAATGCCTCTCGTGCTGACGCTCGTAGGACGTCTTGTAGTCGGAGCGGTGGATGAGGAAGCGATCGTGGGTCCACGATGCGTGGCGCACGATCCCGGCCATCAGGGGATGCCTCAACTCGATCACGATACCGTACCTTGCCCCAATGGCTCTCCTCCAGGTCCTCGTCATACCCTCGATGGACGAGTGGAACCTCTCCACCATGCCGTTGCTCCCCTTGCTCGTCTTCGGTGTGTACCTGAAGGTCGCGTTGTTCCCGATGTCCCTCGCGACCTTGGCCGCCACGTCCTTGGCCGCATTCTCGGGGTCGCACTGGATGATAACCTTCTCAAACCCGAGCTTCTCCACGTACCGCTTGAGACACTTCAGGAGAAACAAATCTCCTCCACCTTTCGCCTCGCACCATACCGAGGCCGTAGAGTGGTATACGTTGTCGATGGCATTCATGACTGGGTGCACTTTCTCGTCACGATGCGTCTTGCCGAACATGTAGTCGATCTGGATCACAGGCACACCCTCTACCTCTTTGATCCTCTCATGCCTGTCGTCCAGGCCTCGCCCCCCTACACAGTCCGCGCACCACGCTGCATATGGACAGTGGAGGGCCTCGTGAGCCTCCCTCTCGGCTCGCGTCGGCTCCCTGGGAGCCGTCATCACCGTCGCCTCGGGCCTGACTTCTTGCTCCATCGGCTGGTCCACCTGCGCAGCGATGTACTTCTCGGGGACGCCCGTCGCCGTGTTGTAGACGACCAGGCCGTCCGCGCCGATCTTGGTGCCGACGTAGCTCATCACCGTCGCGCGCAGGAAGAACAGGCCGAGCCTTCTCTTCAGCCCAAGCCGCGATCGCCCGCTCCTCGAATCCCGCGTGATCGAGGGTGGGCCCGTCGAGCCTGACGGTGGGAACTCCACCCCAGCTCCTGCCGTGTTGATGCTGTTGACACTCAGGATCGGTTGCGTCACCTCCGTGACGTGGAATCTCACACTGATCTCGTCGTCATTCTGCGTCTTCAAGTTCACCTGCTTGTCGCCGAAGTGCTTCAAGGAGGTCCCGTTGGCGACCTTGATCTCCAGCCTCCTGTCCTGCATAGTGGGGTAGTCGGGGAAGTCGCTGGGCCCGCGCGCCGACTTGTTGGCGCCAGTGTCCACCGTGATGTCAACCGTCTGGCCAACTCTTGTTCCGCTCGGGCCCTCAAGCGCGCCGACGGCGAAGATCCACGCAGCGTCCTCGCACTCGGAGCACTGGAGGGCGTTGGCACTGATGGAGGCGCTGGCGTCCTCGTGGGAGGAGGCCGCGCCCTTCTCCTTCTCGTTGGCGGTGTCCCAGCTCCCCCACTTCTCGTCCCAGGTGTTGCCGTCCCAGCCGCTGCCGTCCCAGGTGCTCACGTTGTGGATCTTGGCGTAGCAGTCCTTCTGTTTGTGTCCCCACTTGCCGCATCGTTCGCAGTGTCCCTGGAACTTCTTCTCTCCGCCGGCGATGCCACCGCCGCTGCTCCTGTCCTTGCCCTTACCTCTGGTGTCGTTGCCTTTGCCCTTGCCTTTGCCATTGGCTTTGCCGTGTCCTCTTCCGCCCTTGCTGTTGATGGCGCCGGTGTCCATCGGCGCAGGGCCACCGGGCATGGACTGCTTCGTGAGCAGGAAGTCGGCGGCCACCTCCTTGATCCTCGCCCACTGGATCTCCTCCTTGGGTGTCCCCAGCAGCACGTGGTTCCTCAAGGCCTCAGGGGCTCGCGCGATCAAGACCGCCGAGCGGATGTTGTCGCTGAGGGCCTCGCTCGCCAGCTTCTCGTACTCTTCGATCGAGATCTCAAACTTCGCCATGTTGTCGAGGAAATCCGCCTCTCCGCCGAAGTCGAACTCCAGCACCCTCATCAGTCTCGACAGGATGCTGCCCATGTTCTGAGGGTCGTACTGGGAGCTCAGCCTGCGGTATGCCCCGAATCCGTCTTGGTTACTGACCTTGCGGATGATGCCGAGCGGGGTGCCCTCCGTATACATCGTGAGCTGGTAGAACAACGACTGCGCCATCTGTCTCCGCTCGTCGTCGTAGTTGGCGTAGTTCAGCTGGTTCTGGCTGTACTCGACCTGGGTCATTCCCTCTAAGCACTTCCGACTCTGGTTGCCAATGTACGCCTTGAACTTGAACGCCCAGTCATGGAAGTCTAGCTTCTTCGTGTTGTCGAAGGTCGGCGGCTTCCCTTTGTCTCCGATGATCGCGTTGGCGAACGCCTTCGACGACTGCTGCCGACTCGCTGCATCTGCGTCGGCTCGCTCCGTCTGGGGCCCCGTGATCGTCTGGTTCTGGTTCTCGACCGTCTCCATCAGTCGGCCGAGCTCTCGCTTCGTCTCCAATAGCTTCTGCGCGAGAGCCTCCACGCTCATCGCGGCCAGTCAGCCGCCTCACAGGCGGGCAGGCTGATCTCCGTGGATCTGCGGATCAGTGCCACCCGCGCTCCGCTGCCATCTTGACAGCAATAAACGATGCCGATCCATTTCACTCTCAAATCCTCAGCACCAAAACGGCTTCAGTACATTGCATGGGTGAGAGCGGGAAAGGGATATGTAGGGGAGGCACGGAAGGGCGTCGGGGGCGATATATCTCGACAGGGCCCCTGGGGGCCGAAATTTGCGAACGACCTCCGTCTTGATTTTTTCTTTTGCGCTGAATCTCTGGGAGCCCCGCCAGATCAATGCACAGGCCCTCGCGTTCTGGGTTCCGGGGCGCGATCCCGAGAGTGCGCGGTCGCATTGAATAATGCTGCGGGGGGCGGGCGCGAACAGCGGCCCAGCGGCACGGTGCGCGATCGGGGGCGCGCAAACATGGATTAGCGATCCATGGATTTGGCGCGCGGTCGCCAAATCCATGGATGGGGGGGAGGTGCCCTCCCCCATATGCGGCCGGTGCCGCCTCGTTCGGCGCGGAAATCCGCGATTTCCAATGGAAACGGGACCCGTCGCTAATCCACGCCCCCTTGATCCATGTTTGCGATCGCCTGACGCGAGGCCGTGGGCATGGCAAAGCTCCCCATGTGCACACGAGTTCTGGCCCCCCCCCCGTACTCTTCCCTTTCCTCCTCCTCCTCCTCCTCCTCCTCCTCCTCCTCCTCCTCCTCCTCAAAAGGTTCTGGAGCCAATCGGATGCTTTTCCGTTTTCGGGCCCTCCAAGGACACCGGGGCCGTCAGGGGGCGGCTCAGGAGGAAGAGGCACCTGTACTAGGCGGAGCCCTGGGGTCCTGGGGTCCGGGACCGAAGGAGGGAAGCGCCTGCCCCAGGAGGAGAGCCCGTCCTGGGGAGAGCCCTCGGAACGAGCCTCTCCTCCGCGGCAAAGGTAGAGAGGGGGGTCGGCTGCTCTCCGTGCAGAGGGGTTCCAGAAGCCGAGCCGGCTAGGTGAGGGAGTGGGGGCGCAGAGAGGCCCTCCTTCTCCCTCCTCCTCCTCCTCCTCCTCCTCCTCCTCTTCCGCCTCCTTTTCCTCCTTCTTCTTCTTCTCCTCCTCCTCCTCCGAGGGGGAGGGCGAGCAGGCGAGGAGGGAGAGGAGGGCGGGGAGGGGAGACGCTCTGCAGTCCACCCCTCCTGCGCCGCACGCCTCTGCCCATGCCCTCTCGTGCCGCGCTCTGGCTCGCTGGTCCGCTTCGTGCCCTTCCCCCCTCCCACCGTTGCGCCTGCCTGCCTGCCTGCCTGCCTGCCTGCCTGCCTGCCTGCCTGCCTGCCTGCCTGCCCGCCTGCCCGCCTGCCCGCCTGCCCGCCTGCCTCCTCCTACTCCCATACATCCTGCTCCTTCTCCTCCTCCTCCTCCTCCTCCTCCTCCTCCTCCTCCTCCTCCTCCTCCAACCTCGACTGGCCCTCCTCCGACCTTGTTCTTCCCACCCATCCCCCCCCGGGGACCACGACCGGACTGCGCTTCTGCTAGAGTGCGATGTGAGGGGCTCGAAGCAGACTTCCGACCGACAAGCCCACGCCGTGAAGGCGTCACCGGGGGCGAGTAGGTGGTGGAGGAGGAGGAGGAGGGAGCCTTGGAGGGGAGGAAGGAAAAGTGGGAAACGAGTGGGAGGGCGGCGGAGGGGGTCAGAGGTCAGTGGGTGCTGCCGATGCCTGGCCTCGGAAAATCTCAGCGATCTCCATCTTGAAGGCGCTCGGGTCCTGGCACTGGGAGCTGTCGGGGCTCTCCGAATACAAGATGTCGGCGGCCCTGCCGTGGGCGGGCCCGGGAGGGGATGCTCGCACCAACGAGAATGGCTGAGTGCACGGATCCACAGCAAGGGCATTAGACACAGCATAACACACGCACGAGATGCGCATGAGGCAGGACGACGAGCGAACGAACGACGAACAAAACACACTAGATTGAACATACGAAACATTAATTAGAAAAATAAAGGATTATTAGGGAGTTCAAAACAAAATTCAAAAAAAGACTATCGACAATGAGCGCAAACACAAAGAGTGTGCCATCTCGAATAAAAAAAACAAAAAAGTATAAAAAAAAAAAAAAAAGAAGAAAACAAAAAAAAAAAAAAAACGAAAAAAAAAAACTCGAAAAAAAAAAAAAAAAAAAAAAAAAAAAAAAAAAAAAAAAAAAAAAAAAAAAAAAAAAGGGGCCACTGGGCAAAATCGAGGGGCCCTGGCAGGGTGATCTAGAATCGTTCCCTCGGGCATTCCTTCTCCCGCTCCTCCCCTTTGCGGTGGTCCTAAGTGGGGTTATCGCCTTACCGCCGCGCGCATTCGTCTTAAATGCGCGCAGCAATTGCACGGATGGAAAGGGCATCGTTTGCAAATTGCTTCCGTGCCACCAACACTCATCTTAAATTTTGCAAACAATTGCAAGTCCTTTTCAGCATGGGGCTCTTGCCTCAATGCCGCGCACATTCGTCTCAAAAGTTTGAAACAGATGCAGAGCTGGAGGACAGCCGGATTTCAAAATGGCCCCCTCGCCTTCACAACGCGCACATCAGTGTGTCAATCCAACAGCGTTGCTGGATGCATGACGGCTCTTGTTCAAGATATGGTACTCGCCTGAGACGTCCTCACACTTAGCGACCAAATGCTTGCAGATGTTTAACACATGCACGAGTGAAGGGTGGTGTCTTTTCAAACTGGGGATCTCGCTTAAGCTGTCCGCCAGTTTGGCGCTAGAAGTCAACATCAGTCCAGCAGTTGCACAGGTCGGGGGACAGTTCATTTCCAGAACGGGGCTCTGCCTGGACACATCGTTGAACCAACCATACACAGATGATTTCTCGTATGCTCCACGCTTCGCCAAAGACGCATCCTTGTGCTAGTCTTTCAAGGAGAAACCCCTCGTCGTGGAAAAGAGGAGGATGAGGAGGAGGAGGGAAGCGCGTGGCAGAGTGCTCGTATGATGCCTTAGGGGGGCGAAGGTGGCGAATCCTGCTCACGAGGGCCGCCACCTCCCAAGGCGCCGCCATCTTCGAGGGGTCTTCGCTTGCGCGACCACGTCCCGCTCCCCAACTAATGAGAAGGTCGGGCTTGGAGCTCTTGGGGGCAAGCGATAAAGAAAGAGAGCGAGAAAGAGAGAGAGAGAGAGAGAGCGTTGGAGAGCTGATACTGACAACCGTAATAACAGAGTAATTATGATAATGCTGATGATGCTGATGATGATGGTGCTGCTGCTGATGATAATGGTGATGATGGCGATGATGATGGTGGTGATGATGCTGATGATGATGGTGATGATGATGCTTATGCTGATTCTGATGATCATGAATAACCACGACGGCGATGATGCTGCTGTTGATTGCAGTGGTGGTTATGATGATGATGCTGATGATGACGATGTTGGTGGTGTTGATGATGGTGATGCTGCTCACGATGATGATGGCGAGGGTGATGATGCTGATGATGATGAGTATGATGATGGTGGTGGTTATGATGTTACTATTGCTGATACTGATGATGCTGCTGGTGATGCTGATGGTGCTGACGATGACGATGATGACGCTGCTGTTGATGACGATGAACATGCTGTTGATGATGATGACGATGATGATGCTGGTTATGATGATGCTGGTTATGATGATGATGATGATGATGATGATGATGATGATGATGATGATGATGGTGATGATGGTGATGATGGTGATGATGATGATGACGATGATAATACTGATAATGGTGATAATGATGATGCTGATGATGCTGATGCCCAGAGGCGCATGAGAAGCGAGGTTCTACGTAACACGAGCCTGGGAAGACAGGCGGCCGCCAAAGGGGCAGGGGGAAAGGAGTAGAAAGGAGTACGACGCACCGAAAGCGTGATGCCTCCTATGCGACACGCCGCGCGGCAGATAGAGAGAGAGAGAGAGAAGGAGAGAGAGAGAGAGAGAAGGAGAGAGGGAGAGGAGAGAGAGAGAGAGGGACAATGAGAAAGAGAGAGAGAAGGATAACGAGAGAATGAGATCATGAGGGAGAGGAGGTGTGTAACGAACAACGGCAGAAAACGCTCGGTGGCGCACGCGTGCCGGCACGCGGAGCCGCGGCACGAGCGCAGCCGCACGCCGCGGGACCCGGCAGAGCGGTGCGGCGCGGCACGTGCGCTGCGGGGCGGAGGCTCGCCCCGGCGCGGCCCTCCACCCCCACGCTCCGGCGGCGCTCGCCCTCCTCCTGTCCTTCTCCCTCTCCTCCCTCTCCTCCCTCTCCTCCTCCTCCTCCTCCTCCTCCTCCTCCTCCTCCTCCTGTCCTCTTCCCGCCGGCTCCTGGCTCCACCATGCATTGCCCTGCTCCCCGCCGCCCTGCGCTCCTCCAGATCCCCCCCTCGTTGCTCCTCGCTTTCCCCCCCCCCGCCCTCTGAGGGACGAGAATTTGGGGGCCCGAAGAATATACACCAATACCACCACCACGCCGATTCCTCCTGTCTCCTCTTTCCAGCGAGAGGGGAGGTGGGGGAGGGAGGTGGTGGGGGTGTAGATTCTTGGGCCCCCGATCGAGAAAGAGAAAGACGAGGAGGTCAGGAGGTTTAACAGCCATGATTCAGGACGCAGGCGAGAACTGCGGTACCGATCGGCAAGCCCGTGAGCGGCGAGGCGCCCACAAGCAGTGGCCAGTCCGCGTTCAAGCCGGTTCTGCTAGGCGAGCCTTTGGCCGCCCCTGTCCCACTGGGCTGCTCTCTGACGCTGGCAGGAGGACGGAGACGGAGAGGATGAAGAGAAGCAGGGAAGGGGAAGGGGATGGACGGATGAGCGAGGCGGAGGGAGAGAGGAGGATGAGGGATGGAGGCGAGAGGAAGGGGGAGGAGGGGGATGATGGAGGAGTGGCAGGAGGAGGGGAGAAGTGGGGAAACCGAAAGCTACCGATACCGCTACTCCCCGGACCTCTCTCGGGGTGCGATCTGACCAGGGCTTCGCGGCGAATCCAGCGGTGGCGACGAGGGCCGCCCAGGAGGCCCCCCAAAAGGGGAAAACGAAGGAAGGGTAGAGGTGTGGATACCTCTTCCTCCTCCGGGAGGGGAGAAGGAACCCGCCTCGAGTAGTCCTGGTACATGATGGAGAGCGCCAGGGAGCGGAGCGCGTCGACCTCGCGGGGGCACTGCGCCGGGGATTGCAGCGGGGAGCGGCAGGCGCACGCAGGGGGGGGGGGGGGGGGAAGAAGGGCGAGGAGCACGAGGCACGACGCCCCCCAAAAAGGCTGCCAGGAGGCCCAGAGCCTCAAGAGGCCTCATCTTCTCCAGGAGGCCCAGGGCCTCAAGAGGCCTCATCTTCTTCTTCTTCTTCCTCTTCTTCGTTTTCTTATTATTCTTCCTTTTCTTCTTCTTCTTCGTTTTCGTCTTCTTCCTCCTCCTCCTCCTCCTCTTTCCTCTTTCCTCCTCCTCCTCCTCCTCCTCCTCCTCCTCCTCCGCGCGGGTGCTGCGGGGGCGGCGCCGGACTGCCAGAGCGTGAGGATGCGAGACCCGATCAGAAGGAGCATGCTCGGCCTTGCTCCAAAAGCTCCCTTGCGGCAGCTTCCAGCCTGTCTTGCCCCTGGGGCTGGAGAAGGTCTTGCCCCCCGAGGCCGGACGTCCACGGGTGGAGGTCGAAGGCCTGGAGGTCGAGAAAGGGGATGGGCAGGGGGGAGGAGGAGGAGGAGGAGGAGGAGGAGGAGGAGGAGGAGGAGGAGGAGGAGGAGGAGGAGGAGGAGGACGGAGTGGGGAGGGGAAGGGGCGGGAGAATTGGACGGGAGGGGCTATTGCAGTGGCGCGCGAGAAGCCAAATTCGCCTGGCGACGGGCACGACCCAAATACGGCTGTGTGTAGCGCAGGGCACGGCCCTGTCTTCATGGTATACTGCGCGCCGCAGGGCAGTGTGCATAGGGGACTGCGGAGCAAGCGGGCAGCGGCGCGTGGATCTCTCTCTGAAGGGGCACGCGGACGATGGTGGCGAGGTGCCGAATGCGTCTCTGCGCAGAGGGGCACGCCAAATGTGTGAGGTGTATGCAGACATTGAGCGGGGCGGCGGCACGATGGCCTGTCGCAGGGGCCGTACATGGAGCTCCCCGGTGGGGCACGGAATGCGCGCGGCCGCACGCGCAGAACCCTTGGGGGGGACGCGAGCATTGAGAGGGGCGTGCCGAAGTGAGCAGAGCGGCCGCATGCGGCATGCGGTCGCACCCGCTGAGGCCGTAGGTTTCGCTGAGCTTCCTGTTGTCCACGAAACGGCTACACGCAAGAGTGACCCCGGGTAAAAGTGGCCTTTGGTGCGCGGTTTTGGGGGGGCCGCGGAGAGACCGCTCCGTTTTCAGCCATCTGAGGGCCCCTCTGTGCTCGCACCAAAGGTCACTCCGGCGAAAGGTCACTCTTACGTCTCGTCGGACGAAACATGTGGGGGTGTACCAGGATGTGCGCTTTGGAGGCATGCGTGCGCACCCACCGGGGCCGTGTGTCGTGCTCCTGGGGGGGGGGCACGAACGTGTGAGGCGTGTGCCGGCATGGACGGGAAGGCCTCATACAATCGCAACCACTCGAGCAAAGGGCTGAGTTCCTTGATGGGCACCAGCCGTGGCCAGGTAGCGGCATGCGGTCGCACCCTTTGAAGCCGTATGCGGAGCTACTTGTGGGGCGATGTTTGTCGAAACGGTGTGCTGAACTTGGCGGGGCGGTGGCGTGCGAGCGCACCCGATGAAACCGTATGTTCAGCTCCTTGTGGAGCAGAGTGTGTGTGTGTGTGTGTGTGTGTGTGCGTGTGCGTGTGCGTGTGCGTGTGCGTGTGCGTGTGTGTGTGTGTGTGTGTTTTGCGTGTTCGGTGGTTGTGCAGTGTGTGTGTGTGTGTGTGTGTGCTGTGTCGGCTCGTCACTGTCGCACTGTTTCCTCCTTGTCCGTCCTGTTCCCACCTCGTTCTCCCTCTTTCCCTGTTTGCGCTAGGCGTCGGATGCAAATGCCCCCCCGAGGCAGGTTGGGCACAGGACCCTTGAGGGGCGCGCCGAAATGGCCCACCAAGGCCGTGAGGTGGAGCTCCCCATGGTGTCGGGAAGCGTGTGACGGGTGTGCCGAAGGTGGCACGCGGACGGAAGAGGCAGAGGGGAGCGGCGGAGGGAGGCCGGGCGCGGCCCCGTGGACAGAGCATCGGGAGCCAGCACCACAGTAACGTCTGCAGGGGGCCATGAGGGCGAGCGGGTTCCACGGAACTGCATGCCATCATGCAGACAGGGGAAGGCAGGGCGAGGGGAGAAGAGAGAAGAGATGGATCTGGACCCGGCGATGAGGAATTATCGCTCTCGGCCCCAGCCAGAGCAACCACCAAAACCTGCAAACTGCAATCCTTGCGGTTCTTAGGAACGTCACGCCTAATACTCCTACTGTTCCTGCGGATACTGCATCTACGCGTGCTCAAATGACTGCTGCCAGCACAGCCACCGCCACCACTACTGCCACTTCCACTCGTGCTGCTCTGTTACTACTGCCACTACTGCTATTGTTGCTGGTCTTGCTCCAAGTGCTGTCACCCCAAGTGCGACGCTATTGATATGGATGCTTCTAGAACTTGTGGCTATGATCTGCTACGGGCACTGGTACTGATATGGGCCTTGTGTATGGTGCGGCTCATGAATGTGGTACTGCTGCTGTGAATGATGCAATTGATCCGGATGGTAGTGAGTATGCCACCGACGCTGTCATATTGTTGCGACTGTTGCTGGCAACCGAACGTGATGTAGCATTGACGGAGGATTATGCTGGTTATCTTGAGGGCTGTCCTTGTGCACATACTTACTAGAACCACGCGCGCTCTTCGCGCGCGCTTAGGTTCTAGCTGGGAGGCGAGCTTGAGTCAACGAAAGTCGCAGGGAAGGGGGCAGGGGGAAGAAGGCCAGAGAGCGCTGAAGGATACAAATACTGGAACCCTCTTGTGATTTTGTGGGGGGCCTCGTCCGGCCGCTCGCTGGGAGTTTGACGTAGCTTCTCGGGAGCCTCTGAACCTGTCGGGGGCCTCCTGGAAGCAGGTTCGAAGCATTTTGGGGGCCGATTTGGGGCTTCTTGGGGCCCTCTTGGGCCATCTTAGGCGCCTCTTGGGCCGTCTTGGGGCCCTCTTGGGCTGTCCTGGGGCCCTCTCGGAAGCTTCTTGGGCCGTCTTGGGGCGGTCTTGGAGGCCTCTTGGGCCGTCTTGGACGCGGTGAAAGCCCAAGATGCGAACATGCGAAAAATATACGTTTTCCCATAGGAATGGCACGATTTTTGTTTCTTGGACCTCTTGGGGTGCCTCTCGGAACGTATTGGGCTGATTTTGGAAGCCTTTTGGCGCCTCTGGGTGGCGTTTTGGCGCCTCCTGGGATATGTTGGGCCGGAAGCTCGGAATTCGAGAGTGGCTTTCTCCTTCTGGGACCCCTCTCGAAGTCGTCTTGGGGTTCTGTTGGGCCGTCTTGGGGCCGTCCTGAGCCACTCGTGCGCAGCCTTGGAGCGCTCCCGGAGGCCTCCTAGGCCGTCTTGGAGGCCTCTTGGGCCGTCCCTTGGAGCGTGAAAAGCCAAGATGCAACATGCGAAACATATTTTTTGATATCATCATTATAAATGTATTTCACAATACGTTTCTGAGCGCGAGCACACACGATTTTTTGTTTCTTGAACTCTCTGGGGTGCCTCTCGGACGTCTTTGGGGTGCTTTTGGGAGCCTTTTGGCGCCTCTTGGCGGCATTTTTGCGCCTCCTGGAGCCTCTTGGGCCGGAAGCTCGGAATTCGAGGTTGGTTTTCTCCGTCTGGGACCCCTCTCGAACTCGTCTTGGGGCTCTCTTCGGCCGTCTTGGGGCCGTCCTGGGACACTCGTGCGCAGCCTTAGGTGAAAAGAAAAAGAGAGAATAAGTAAAAGAAAAGAAAGAAAAGTGAATGGAAAAAAAAAAAGAAAGGAAGAAAAGAAAGAAACGAAAAAAGAAGGAGAAAGGAAAAAAGGTAAAAAAAAAGATAATAGAAAAAGAAAGCCCTTGAAAAAAACGATAAGCGCTCCGCCGCTCCCGGAGGCCTCGTAGACCGTCTTGGGCGCCTCTTGGGCCGTCTTGGACGCGTTGAAAGCCCAAGATGCGAACATGCGAAAAATATACATTTTCCCATAGGAATGGCACGATGTTTGCTTCTTGGGCCTCTCTTGGGCTGCCTCTCGGAGCGTCTTGGAGGCTTCTGGGACCTTCTTGGTGTCATGACAGGCGTCTTGGAAGGCATCAGGAGCCATCGGAGCGCGTTTCGAAGCCGCCTGCGAACGATCTTGGACGGCGTCCGGCGGTCCGACGAGCCTCCGGGCCCCCCGGAGCCCACATTTGTGGTCGGGGTCCCGGCCCCGGGCCCCCGGACCCGGTGCGCCGTTACATGTATATATGTGGCTATCTCGACGGTGTTCCCAATTCTAGCTCAAGGCCAACATGTACGGCGAATCAGACGTGTACTCGTACGCTTGGTTGTGCGTGTGTTTGCCCTTCAGAACATCATTCGTCCAAGGCGGGGTGATCCGTATGCGTATGCTTCAGCGTCAGCGCCTGTCTTGTATTACATGCGTTCCTATAAACCCACGCCTGTGTCAGCGTGCCGAGGCCATGCTTACGGGCCCAAATGGCACCCGTACTAATCATGCTACTTGTGTTGCTACGAGTGCCGCGCATAAGGCGATGGATACATCGTTTACTACTACACCATCATTGCCACCACCACGACCGACGTCTACATCACGACCACGACCACTACCACTGTCGTTGCCCAGCATGTTCATCACAACCACGGACCACTATCCTGTTTGAGCGATCGCTGGTGTTGCCTGCAGTGCCCCGTCCCACTCTGAAACCGCATCGTCAATAAGTTCGAAGTCGAACGTGGCGAAAAGGAAGAGCACTGGAAGGCCAGCAGAAGCAAGGTTATTCGTAAGGGCTCTCCTCTGGCGCACCACCACCGCCCTGATGGAGAGAGGAGCGGGCCTTTTGTCTCGCCATTGGTATGGCCAGCCCCGCGTCCAAAACCTTGGGTCAATGTCGCGGCCGCCAACTCCCGCCCGCCCGCACCCGAGCCCCCGCCAGCTTCCCTCCCGCCCCACCCTCCTAATATGCGTCGTGTTCATCTTCCTCCTCATCCTTCTCATCCTCCCGCCCCTCCTCCTCCTCCTCCTCCTCCTCCTCCTCCTCCTCTCCATTCCTCTATCCTCCTCCTCCTCCTCTTTCTCCTCCTCCTCCTCCTCCTCCTCCTCCTCCTCCTCCTCCGCCTCCTCCTCCTCCTCCTCCCCCCCCTCTTCCTCCTCCTCCTCCTCCTCCTCCTCCTCCTCCTCCTCCTCCTCCTCCTCCTCCACCCCCCCTCTCCTCATCCATACTGGTCTTCCGCTCCATCCTTCTGCGCTCCGCACTCTCTCTACTCGGCATCCCTGCTCCTGCTTGTTTTGTTATGTTGTCATGCTTCTGCTGCTGCTGCTGCTGCTGCTGCTGCTGCTGCTGTTCGGGCAGGTGCCAATCAACGGTGTTGCGCGCCTGGTGCTGCCCTGCGCGCTGCCGCCGCCAGCTGCGCGCCAGGCGGCCCCTCCCCGCTGCTCTCGCCGAGCCGCTTCAGCCACGCTGCTTGCATGCCGCGAGGCGCCCCGGCCCGGCCAGGCGTGTGGCCGGGCGCCCCCGCCCCGCCCGGCCGTGATGCGTGCGCCAGCGGGGTCGGTGGCTATATCTCCTCTCGGGTCGGGCAGGTCCTCCAACAGGCGGATTTGGGGAGAAAAACGGAACATCTTCCAGAACTGCTCCAACAATTCCCCAAACATGGTCAGCAAATTGTCCCCCGACTCTTTTGGAATAATTTTGGTATATTTTCCTGTAGAGGGACATGCCCGACTCAACTCTATCTCTTCTCCCTTTCCCCTGCTCCTGCCGCCGCCCGCCGCCTGGGCCTCCCCCGGCGTCGGCGGGTGGCTTCTCGCCCCGCGGCACCGCTGCGGCGCAGCTCGGCAGCTCGGCAGCTCGGCAGCCCGTGGGCTCAGCACTGCAGCAGTTTGCTGCAGCACGCGGATCGCAGCCCCGTCTCCCGCCACGGACGCTCAGTCCGCGTCTGCATCCTGTGGGCGCCGCACCCGCGCAGCGAAGTCTGACACTTGGATGCTCCCACTCTTTGAGCAGGGACCGACCGTCCCAGCATTCCTATAGTCCTACCACGGAGCGGTCTTAGAACCCAGAAATGTTCGAATAACAAAAACAATGTTCTTAGAACATAAACCCGATGTGAAAATACAAGGCCGATTCCGCCAGAGATGTTCTAAGAACATTTCGTGGGAACCATAAAAGGGTTCTTCGAAAATTGTTTGGTAGGGCTATAGGCGGGCCAGGACGCTTCGCCACTGCTTGAATCTTGCCGCTGTGGGCCCGCGTGCCGCTCCCTCTGGACGTCCTGGCTCTTCCTGCTCCACGCTTGCAGCGCCTGCAGCCTTGGCCTCAGCCCCTGGGTGTGGTCGTGACTCCGCTCCGCGTCCCCTGCCAGGTCGCCCCAGAGCAGGCTGGCCGCACCGGCCGCTCCTACTGGAAATCTTTCCGCGGTGAGGGCCCACCTGCCCCGCCTGCTTTCTGCGGCCGCCCTTTTCCTCTTTCCAAGGGCTCCCAACTTCGCGCTTCGCGCTCCGCGAAGCGCGAAGCGCGAATAACTTCGCGCTCTCGCGCCGCCCCCCCAAAGGGGGAAAAGGAGGACGAGGAGGAGGGGGAGAAGGAACGAGGACCGCGAAGCGCGAAGCGCGAATAACTTCGCGCCCTCGAGGGAGCCCTTGCTTTCCCTCTTGCTGCCGATTACTTCGTGCGCCGCGCGCCCCCGGCTACTGGAGCGCGCGAGCGGATCGCCGCTGCTGCGCTGCGACGTAGAAGGTGGTGTTGCTGCTGCTGCTCCTCCTGATCCTCCTTCCTCGTGTTCCCCCACGCATCTTCCCCTTACCCTTCCCCTTCCCCTCTCCCCTCCCCCTTTCCATCGCCACAACCATTACCAGTACTGGTGCTCCTCGCCTTGCTCTTGGCCCTCCTCTCCTCCATCCTTGCCATACCCAAGGAGGAGGACGGCCGTCCAGCTAGACCGATCCTGGGCAATTCAGCCCGTCCTGGGCCCAACCTCGGTGGATAACGCCATCCTCGCGAATACCTTACGGCACGTACGCCTCCCAGGCTGGCGGGAGCGCCCAAAGGCGACTGTAAGAACGCCGCCCAGGCTGGCCGGCGCGCCCAAAGGCGACTGTAAGTACGCCTCCCCTGCTGGCTGGAGCGCCCAAAAGCGACTGTAAGAACGCCGCCCAGGCTGGCTGGGGCGCCCAATATACCTGCCAATCCGTTTCCCAGAACGGCTGGGGGGGGGCGCCCGAGGCGGCCCGGGCGTCTGAATCATCAGGATGTGGGGGGGGTGAAGCCAAATCCTATCAAAATTGCCCCCCGCCCCCCCCCGACCCGTCCTGGGGTCCATCTAGTGCAGCTTGTCCTCTCACGGCCCGCAAACGGCGCCCAGAGGCTGCAACAATACAGAAAAACCTTCACCTGCCCAACACCTCGAACCTCTTCCCCCCCGTCCTGCCGGTCTTACCCAGCGCTCCCAGCTGGCTCCAACCTGCCAGTCCGCTTCCCAGGCCAGTTGGGGCGCCCGAGGGTGTACACCGACCCCCGGGACCCAGGGTAGGTGCATGTGGACACGTACCTGGCGTTCCCCGATCCTCGTCCCCCCTCGCTGGCCCCTATCTGCTTCTGCAGAGCAGGAGGCAGGAGCGGGGGGGGAGTAAGGGAGGGAGGGAGGGAGGGAAGATGAGGGGAGGGAGGAGGGAGGGAGGGAGGGAGGGCTTGCTGCTAGAACTAATCTCGCACACACCAGGGAGGGAGGAGAGGGAGGGGGGAGGGAGGAGGGAGGAGGGGGAGGGAGGAGGAGGAGGTAGGAGGAGGAGGGAGGAGGAGGGACGAGGAGGGAGGGGGAGGGAGGAGGAGGAGGGAGGAGGAGGAGGAGGAGGAGGAGGAGGAGGAGGAGGAGGAGGAGGAGGGCGACTAGGACTAGGACGAGGCCCTGCCTCCAAGAAGGCAGGTCCGAGAGGAAGAAAACAACCCCGGGGAGGGGAGGGGGCGATCACGCTTCGTGCGAGCCGCTCTTCCAGCCATGCCCAGATCAGGGGAGACGCATGATGCACAACAGGGCCACCCGAACAACATAAAACAGCGGGAGGAGCCCAGGCGCAGGGGAGCCCGGGCGCACCTATACCAGGCGAATCGAATGCCGAGCTGTCTAGCGGATTCGTCCTCTTCCTGGGCCCCTCCCCGACGAGGAAGGGCTCTTTCTTCAGCGGCCCGCCTCTCAGGCGCCACTGACTCCGGAGATCGGGTCGGGTCGGGCCTGGCACCGCATCTGGCCGCATCGGCACGCCGTCGGCATCGGCTCGGCTCGGTCGCGCCAGGGTTCGGCAGTGGGCAAATCTCCCTTTGGTAAACCTCCCCTTGGTGAAAACGGCATGGGACCGAAACCGACGGACCTGGACCCGCAAAAATGACGGCCGCGACACCCCCTCGCGGACCGAAAACGGCCAATCCCTGAATCGACGTGTCAGGGTAGGAGGTCCATCAACCTCCGAAGGGTGTGCACACGCGAGCCGCGCCAGCGTCGGGCCGGCTCGGCTCAGGCTGTGCCCAGGCTGCTGGTCCCCAGACGCCCCCCTGATTGAAGGGGCCCCGGGACACACAAATAGATACACACAAATCAAAAGATTTCCCATCTTTTCACGTATTTTCTGGGTTTTCGTCTTCCCCCCCACTTCCGATATTTTCAAATATTTTCCTGGGGATCGCCGGTTAATTGTGTCTGTGTGTTTTTTCCCCTCCTGACTGATGTCGGGGGCGTCCACGGAGGGAGGCGTCCAAGAGGGGGGGGCTCAGACGGAAGAGGGCGCCTGGGGACGCATCGCAAGAAGAACAGGGGGCCATGAGGTCTGGGGAGATCCCGTAGGACCGCACCTTCATACCTGCGCGTTCGACCACGGACTCCGTATTGCCCCTGGCTCCTGGGCCGTCTTCGGCGGTCTTCGGCGATCTTCGGCGGTCTTCTGACGGACTTCGGCGGTTTCCGGCAGTCTTTGGCGGTTTCCGGCGGTCTTCGGCGCGAAAGCTGGACGGTCGCGTTTTTCAAGAGGTCCATGATCGAGCACCTCATCATCCTAGTCCCGTGGCCTGACGAGGGCCCCTGGAGGCCGAAAACTGCTCAAAACCCGCCCGCTATTTTCTCGCAACGAAATGAGGTGGGGGATAGCCGCACCGGATACCTGCTTGGCACGCACGCCTGAAGTGGGTACGGGAAAAATGGGCACGATGCCGAAAAGCAAATGCTGCCCGAGAAGCGGCAGCGCCCTCGGCGACGCCGACAGCGAGCCCCCTTCAGGGTGGACAGGAACTGCTGTCGTACGAGAACAAGCCTCATACGCCGTCCAATGTTTGGAATCCCTGTCCCTGCAGGCCCCGCTAAAACGCGGTACGGTGCACAGTCGTTCGACTCCGAGGGCCGAACAGATACCATGCACCGCACCATGACCTCGGGAGACGCCAACTCGCCATCGCTCGGACGTCCATTCCCTGTGCTTGTTTTGATTTCGTGCGTGGTTTTTTCTCCAAATGATTCAGGATTCTCCTCGATGGTCCTCGCCGAAGGAAAAATGCACACGTCCGAGCGATGCCAAGCCAACGAGGCACGGTTCGCCCGCGGCTGTCGGCCTTCGTCGCTTCGGGGGCAGGTCACGGGAGCCTCTCATGCCATCTTGCTGGCTCTGGCGAAGCGACGCTGGTCGGCGCTGATTGACGCGAGCCCACGCGAAACAGCGCTAATCGACGCCAAGTCGGCACCACATCGATGCTCTATCGGCGCAAACTCGGCGCTTCCTCATCGACTACAAGTCGCTAGCGCACGCTGATGCACTCTAAAAACTGAAGTGCGGGCGCGGCCGCAAGAAGCCCTCGCAAGAAACCCAACCCTGAAAATCCGCGCGCGAGGTGCGCCTGGGGGGAAACCCAGAGCACCCTGAACGCAGCCGCTTCTTTCAACGCCTGCGGGAAGTCACGGCGCAGCTCGCGGAGACAAGACACCCAGGACGCCCCGACGAGAAGCACAGGGCCTCTTGGTGCGCGTCCCCCACTGCACGAGGGCATACTTGGAGGCCTGGAAATTGGCACCTACACCAGCACAGGGGGTTTGCCTCCACATGGAGAAGATGGTCCTAAATTTCGGTGTTGGTGGTAACAGTTCGGTCACCTTGGAAGCCAGAATATTACCACCATCACCGAGATCGGGATCGTCTTCCCTCGGTGGATGCACACCGCCGACCTTGGTGTTGGTGTCAACCTCTAGGCCTGCGACACACGCTGCCGGCCCTCACCATCACTTCCGTATCCACTTCGATCGTGCGGAGCTGCCAGAGACGGGGCGGCGGCGGCCGGCCGCAGCAGCAGGCCGCGGGCACCACGAGCTCGAAGGGCTGCCACGGCGACCGGCCCGCGAGGCGGGCCAGCCAGTCGGCCGCCCGCTGGAGCGGCGACCGGACGAAGCCCTGCCCGCGGCAGTGTTAGGAGGCAACTACTGGGAGGTCGTCGGAAGGATTGAAGAACATTAAGCCCCATTGGGGGGCTGCTACGCCAGATTGGGCCGCGGATTAAGCGGGATTGAGCGGCATCAAGCGGGATCAAGCCAGATTTCAGACCAGGGCGAAGTCAGAATTTGACCTCCCAAGAGTTGCATCCGAAGCAGTGAGGCAGAGGATAGGTCTCCTAGAAGATATCTGATCCGAGGGGAGGATGGCCCTTCCAGGCCCCGGGAAGCGCATCCTGCCCCAAACGAGTGTATCCGCATGGCGCTCGGATATCCGACCAAGATCCACCGCTGATCCAGGATCTCGAATGGCAGATCATTCGGATTGGATATCTTGTCGGGGCTCGAGAGGGATGGCAACGCAGGACCAGGCCGAGAGGAGAATGGAGATACAGATGAACGTCTTGGGGGCGTGCTCCGCGCCACAAACCGCGACATAGGGTTTGCAATCGAGATGCGTGCCCCTGCGAAGGGTACGGATGCACAGCCATGTAGCACGCTGCCGAGGCCTGCCTGGGGTGCCTCGCAGGCCCACGTCCTCCCACCTCGCCCTCCCTCCCCCCGCCACAACGCCGAGAGGAGGAGGAAGAGGAGGAGGAGCAGGAGGAGGAGGAGCAGGAGGAGGAGGAGCAGGAGGAGGAGGAGGACGAAAAGAACGAGGAGGAGACGGATGGGGGGGAGGAGGAGGAGGAGGAGGAAGGAGGAGGAGGAGGAGGAGGAAGGAGGCGGAGGAGGAGGAGGAGGCGAGAGGAGGAGGAGGAGGAGAGGAGGAGGCGGGGGAGGGGGCAGGGGGAGGGGTGAGGGGGAGATGGGGGAGGGGGAGGAGGGGGAGGGGGAGGGGGAGGGGATGGCGGGGAGGGGGAGGGGGAGGAGGAGGCGGAGGAGGCGAGAGGAGGAGGAGGAGGAGGAGGGGGCGGAGGAGGAGGAGGAGGGGGGGAGGAGGAGGCGGAGGAGGAGGAGGAGGAGGAGGTGGAGGAGTAGGAGGAGGAAGAAGACGGCGCTCATTGAGTTCACCGTGGGGCTGCGATCCTGTGATCCTGGGGGTGGTGGCGCAAGGTAGGGGCGGCAGCAAGGAGAGGAGCAGGCCCGGAGAGGGGGCCTGTTGGGGAAGGAGTCCAGGAGGAGGGGGGTCCTGGGAGCCCCGCCTGCAGGGCCAGAGGGGCAGGTTCAGCCCGCTGGGCCAGGAGGGCCGGTTCCTCAGCAATCCCTGAGCCGAACAGGTGCCAACGGCTTGGCCGCCGTGGGCAACGAATGCCGCCGCTCTCGAGGCCGCCTCCCGCTCCTGAGCACGCGCTGGGAGCGATCGCGATGCCCGACGCTCGAGGCAGGGCCTCCAGCCCTCGCGGGCGCTTGCGCGGGAAGGGGCTCCGGCCCCCAGAGGGGATAGGCTAGGCAACGCTGTGGAAAGGTCTTATGGCCCGATTTTCCACCACCACCACCACCATAGGTAGGGGAGGAGGAGGAGGAGGCGGCAGGTGAGGAGTTAGTGGAGTGAAATAGAGGAGGCGGAGGAGGAGGAGGAAAGACGAGGAGGAGGAGGTAGGAAGGAGAGGAGGAGGAGGAGAGGAGGAGAGAGGAAGGAGGAGAATATACGAGGAGAGGATGATGATGAGGATGTCTGCTGCTGATGCTGATGATGCTGATGGATGATGATGATGATGATGATGAGGATGATGATGATGATGATGATGATGAGATGATGGATGATGATGATAATGATGCTGATGATGATGATGATGATTATGATGATTATGATGATGATGATGATGATGATGATGATGATGATGATGATGATGATGATGATGTTGATGTTGATGCTGATGTTGATGTTAATGATG